TATTTTATATATTGTGATTTGTAGAAATTTAATTCATGAAAATTGCAGAAAGCATCCCTCATATTTACTGCGTAACCCCACCAAATGTACTGTGTAACCCCGCCTACTGTACTGTATAAACTCACCTGAAATCGCAGGCTAGTCCCAGATCGGATATTCTCACGTGACCACTTTCATCCAGCAAAATGTTTGCAGGTTTAAGATCCCGGTATACAATCGATCTTAATAAAAAGAATTTTAAAATAATGAAATGAAGATGTTAGATACATTACTTTCCCATGTAAAATTCCCCAAATGGCAACTTCCCAAGTCTGTCCTAATCGCAGCGCTCGGATCTCAGCCTATTTTAGCCGCAGCGCTCGGCCTCTTAACCCATCCTAGCTGCCGCGCTCGGCCCCCATTGCAGCCTGCGGCGCCTCAGAGGGCCTAACCTAACCTTTGGCAAGTTGCCGCTTGGGAAATTGCACATTTGGAAAGTTGCAACTTTAGAAATTGTCACTTAAATGTCGCCCTTGGGAAAATGCCTTTGGCAAAGTACCTAATACCGAAATGAAGGGTTGTAAAATTTCAAGATATAGTTTTCACAATTTTGAGAAAAGGACATCATTTACTTCAAATTCAAAAATGGTAACATTAACAAAAATTGGGGAATAGAATTTTAAAAAGGGATTTTTTTTATCGCAGAGAGATTATCGAAATAGTTTTATGTGACTTACCATTTCAAGAGTGCCATATTAATTCTTCAGTATTTATTTGTAAGTAAGAGATTGTTCAAAATACTCAAAATACTCCTATTTATTGGTTCATAAGTATTGTTCAAAATACTCATAATACTCCCATTTATTGGTTCATTAGTAAGAGATTGTTCAAAATACTCATAATACTGCCATTTATTAATTCATTATTAAGATATTGTTAAAAATACTCATAATACTCCCATTTATTGGTTCATAAGTAAGAGATGTTTCAAAATACTCATAATACTCCCATTTATTGGTTCATAAGTAAGAGATTGTTCAAAATACTCGTAATACTCCCATTTATTGGTTCATAAGTAGGAGATGTTTCAAAATACTCGTAATACTCCCATTTATTGGTTCATAAGTAAGAGATTGTTCAAAATACTCATAATACTCCCATTTATTGGTTCATAAGTAAGAGATTGTTCAAAATTCCTTTGGCAAGTTGCCGCTTGGGAAATTGCACATTTGGAAAGTTGCAACTAGGGAAATTGTCACTTAAATGTCGCCCTTGGGAAAATGCCTTTGGGAAAGTACCTAACACCGAAATGAAGGGTTGTAAAATTTCAAGATATAGTTTTCACAATTTTGAAAAAAAAGGCATTATTTACTTCAAATTCAAAAATGGTAACCTTAACACAAATTGGGGAAAAAAATTTTAAAAAAGGGATTTTTTTTTGTCACAGAGATTGTCGAAATAGTTTTATATGACCTATCATTTAAAGAGTACCATGATTTAATTATTGTATTTATTTGTAAATAAGAGATTGTTCAAAATACTCATAATACTCATAATACTCCCATTTATTGGTTCATAAGGATATAATCTCAATAGGAAAACAGCTTTAAGCTATCTGAGCTGCCCAGCTACAGTAATTTCAATTATATTTTTATTTTTATTTTTATACATAGTTTAATTTGTTATTTATCATGTTTATTGCAGCAAACTATATGATTTAATTTGATGAGGAACCATGCCAAGGCCAAAAAGATATTAACTATCATGATGAATATGCGCCTTAGCAAGGATAGGGTCAGAAAGATACACTTAGATCCAGATTCCAGACTGCTGTGAAATGTTCTATCAATATTTAAGACTTGGGTCGGCTTTAAGGCGTCGAAACGCCTTGGACTTTCACAAACTCTTTTAAATATTTGTAGCCCTGGACATGCACAATTTATGACTATAAAGCACTTGCTCGTAAAAAATAAATGAATAAAACTGTCACCCTTCATTCTTAGCTTTAGTTTTTCAGAAGTAGTTTTTTAAAATCCTGAACAATTTTGTATTGAGCTTAGGCCTTAGGATCACTGTGAGGAACTGATTGATTACTTGCTTGAAACTCTTAATTCTAAATTCAAATTCCTTTGGCTTTCATCCTTGCAACCTAGTTGTGTAAACCTTTGATATTTTATCTGACACAATTCATAGTTTGAAGTTTTAAAGGTCTACGAAATCAGTGACTAAATTTAATTAAGTCCAGTAGTTGAACTGCGTAGACTAAGTTAAACTCCTTTTCTAGATTTTAGCCGGCGCTCAAGTAAAATAGTTAATTTAAGTCTACGAAGTTCAACTACTTCTAGTTATTCATAAAACATTGGTTCCAGGTTGCGATGTTAAAATAGAAAATTAGAGTTTGAGGCGGGTAAATAGTTCCTCCACTATTTTGAGCGGGAAATTGATTAGTTGCCATTGAAAAAATGTCCCGGGGAAAATTGATGATTATTCAATTAACCTACTAATAACTCATCTATTTTGGTCAAAGGTTTAAAGGGTACTGTTGTGTATCAGACGTGAAGATTGCTTGACATTAAGTATACAGCCCTTATAACTCCTCACCTTCTATGCATATGATCAAGACCAAGAATTACTTCAGCTGCGTAGAACTTCATCTCATTCTCGTTAAATACACCGTGCTAAAACAATATTCTTGTTAAATACACCGTACTAGAACAATATTCTCGTTAAATACACCGTGCTAAAACAATATTCCCGTTAAATACACTGTGCTAAAACAATATTCTCGTTAATTACACCGTGCTAAAACAATATTCTCGTTAAATACACTATGCTAAAACAATATGCATCAAAATAACAAATATTAAAATACAACAATTCGTTCTCTAATTCTGTAATCAACCGAAATTGCCAAGAACCATACCATTTTTCTACTTATATTGAAATTTTCAAAAAAGGGATCGTATTCTAAATCTTAAAGCCAACTCCAGGCTAGAGTAGAGAATAAATTAGGTATACATTATTCAATCAACCTCCTGACATTTTGAACTCTTGAACTTTTGAACTCATAACCTCCTGACTTCCTGACCCTTTGACTTTCTGACCTCTTTAATTCCTGAAACTTTTTTCTCCCTGACATCTTTACTTCCTAAACCGTTTGACTACCTGAACCTTTAGAATTTTTACCCTCTTGACTTCCTGATCTTATGACCTCTTGTCTTCCTTAACCAATGACTTTATGGCCTTTTAACTTACTAACATCTTGACCTTTCAACCTTAGAATCTCCCTACCTCTTGACTCTAACGCCCAAAATTCACGATCTTTAGACTGACCGTCCTCTTGACCTCCTTCCTACCTGTGAGAGATGGTAGTGAAGGTCTCCTCCGTTCATGAGATCAAGAATAAAGCAGAGTTTGTCTGGAGTATGGAACGCGTAGGTCATACACACAATAAACGGACAGTCATGACCTTTATGCATCCATACATGTACTGTACATACAAGTACTGTACATACAAAAAGATGTACTGTAATGTGTAAATATTTACTATCTCAGAATTGTGAAATTCCATTAAATAACTTTTTTTAAACCATGCACATCATTCTTCACTAACTCTCCCTTTAAATGCATGCCTGATTCACAAAAGTACCCTTTAACCCGTTATCTGCGTAACAATAAGTGTTAAATGTGACAAATCTCTTAAATCTAGAGAGACCATAATTAAAAATTAAAAATTTTCAAAGCAAAATCAAGGATATCTTCATCATTTTTGATGAGTCCCCTTTAAGTTGATAAATTTCAAGTATTGATGTATGATTGCCTGTAGATACTAAACAAAGCATAACATTCTCGTTCAACGCCAATGTTTCTCCCTAGATCAGGAGCTCAATAAATACATGCTTGGAGGTCAAAACTTGTGTTTCAGATAGCGCTAATCTGCAATGCTTAAGCTCTATTCCCCCCGAATTTAAGTATGTTAGCGGGTAGCGTCAAATTTGTTTTTGTATTTTTATTTGCTTAATTTGGAAAATAAATAATTATTTGGTAGAAAGTATCAAAAAAGATGAACAATTATGGTTTTTTGAATTCATATACGAAACAAATGTCTCCATTTAACTTGTCATATGTTTTTAACAACAAAAGACAAGATTAATGTATTTTCTAATCCAATTCTTATGAGTCGCAAACTTGAATATAATTGACTCCTGCCTGTTTCATCTTAATCCGCTTCTTGTCCAGACACTACAACAAATACACAAGTTAAATACAGTACGTAAGATAAACTGTACAGAGGTTTAAGAGTACATGATACAAACAGTACAAAGGTTAAAGAGTACATGACACAAATAGCACATTAAACATTAGAAGTTTAAACAGTACATAGGTTGAACAATACAAAGGTGTAACAGTACATAGGTTAAATTAAACAGTACACTGGTTAAACAGTACATAGGTTAAACATTACATCTGGTTAAACAGTACAAAGGCTAAACAATAAATATGTTAAGCAGTAAATAGGTTAAACAGTACATAGGTTAAACAGTACATATAGGTTGAACAGTATTTAGGTTAAACAGTACATAGGTTAAACAGTAAATACAGGTTGAACAGTATTTAGATTAAACAGTACATAGGTTAAACAGTACATATAGGTTGAACAGTATTTAGGTTAAACAGTACATAGGCTTGAATATACAGAACATAATTATAGGTTAACAGTACATATGTTAACCAGTACAAAGACTCACCAGTACAGAGGTTAAACAGTACATTAACAGAGGTCTAAAACTACAAAAAAATTAAAGATACCTTCATTGCATACATTTTCCCGGTATCTGCTTTCCTGCATCCATAAACCTCTCCGAACCCACCCCGACCAATTATACGATGCACTGAATACATAAAGAAATGAATAATTATTAGCTATGTACACTGTACACTGTACACAAAGGTGTACAGGGATAACCAACTTTTGAAACTAGATGCGCGCGGTAGCTTTTCCCATGCCAAGGTGTACTGTGAGAACTAATCTAAATTTTTAGCTTAATATCTCTTAAACTCAAGGAAATAATTGCTGCTTAAGTTTGAAAAAGACCTACCACAGCCACCATATTTTTTTTCTTGATTTTATCACGTCATTTTATTCGTAATTGTCCAGAAGTTATATCAAAAACCGCAAAAATGTACTTTTCTAAACACCGAGCATTTTGGACGATTTTTCGGACCTAACTTATTTATTTTGTTTGAACATTTCAACGGATCCCAGTTCTCTGATTGAAAACAAAGAAATTGATATGTAACTTCGTAATTTCATGATTTTTACTTTCTTTAGCACTTTTTAAAACTTTGATGGAGATTATCTTCTAGAATTTTTGAGGTGTCGACCTAAAATTTTCAGAAATTATTCACAGTATGTAGTGCAATGGTAAAAGTTGTTGCACGCGCCATTTTAAAAAAAAAATAGTAATCGTTGGTGGACACTTTACTGTTCACTGTACAGTGTACACTGTACCCTGTACCTTGTACCCTGTACCCTGTACACTGTACACTGTACACTGTACACTGTACACTGTACACTGTACACTGTACACTGTACACTGTACACTGTACATGGTTACCCACAAATGATGAGACTTCAGAGACGATTGTATAGAATTAATTCAGACATTTTTCTTACATTCATGGTTCCTAGCAGCTTTATACTTTTGTTTTTCCTTTCTAAATAATTGGTAGCGGCCAAACTGTGTTACTCGAGAATGCCAGAGAGAGATTAAGATTATTTTTGGGTTAGGCAAGGTAATGCCACTTTCCGGGCCGCGCACTGCGGCTAGGACAGGCTAGGGGTCGAGCTCCGCGGCTAGGACAGGCCAAGGCCCGAGCGCCGCGGCTGTACAGGCTAGGGGGCTAAGCGCCACGGCTAGAACTTACTCTATCTCTGCGGCATTCGCAAGTAACGCAGATTGGCCGCTGCCTTTCTGCCTAATTAATTTAATTGGCCCTTTAAGGACTGTTTCCAAATCATTCAAATTCTCATTATCTAAGGAATTTTAGGTAGTGATAAAAGTCTCATCTTTTGTAGTTAACCCTGTAGAACAAGACTGTACAGTGTACACCCTCGTCTCTCCCTGTCTCATAAAGAATATAAATTTTCTCAATCGCAAATGAGGAAAAGGAAAAACTTTTCCGAATTCAAGAAAAACAAATAGTTTAAATATAAATTAAACAACAATTTTCCATATTAACTTTTGTTTTGTTTTTCGACCCCCTTAAATATGAAAAATGAGAAACTTCATATGTTTCGAAATATGAACAGCTCCTTTGCTTTCACAAAATTTGGGCATAGAAAGATTAATTAAAATTTCATTAAATGATGGGATGTCACCTAATAATAATAAAAAAATAACATCTATATGATAAAAGATAAGACATTCATATATATATTGCGTATAGCCGGCCAAACGGCTGGACCGATTGGGCTGAAATTTTTTGTGGAGACACATGGGTGGTCAGGGGGTGTTATAGGCTAAAAAAATTTGAACATCTTTTTTAAATTTTTAAAAAATTAAATTTGTTAAATTTTTTTTTCCACGGGCAACGCCGGGCCCTTCAGCTATTACTGGACGACACAATTACCACCTCAAAAACGTTTGGTGATTTTAACAATAAAAAAAGTTTACCTGAGAAATCGTTCATTGTGAGTTGAATATTTAGCTCTAGGTTTTTCCACATACAGAACCTTGGTTTAATTATATTAGAGGAGAATAAAGGGTTTGTGCACGCAATGTCAAGTAACCCTTCGTTTAAAGAAACATCTCCTATTCACAATAGTACCCCTAAATCTGTAGTGTATATGTGTATATGTGCATTATGTAACAATTAAGAAGACATCATAGTTTTCTATATAGAGAAGAAGTAAAGTCTGTCATTTTCTTTCACTATCTTTTCTGTGTAAATTCAAAAGTCGCTGTAAAAGAAATTTCGCAATTTAATATCAGGATATTTTTATTTTTGTTAAAAAAAAACCGGTTTAAAGGCACCCTCGTGAATTGTGCGATTAACCCTTTAAATGAAGAAACGTGAACAGTTCCCTTTAATTAAATTGTATTGGATTAAAGCAATCAAATTAAACTGGGTTCCATGTTAAACAGCAGAACCTTTTTTCTCTGTTATTTACATTGTTTTAAACTGTCATGTCTGTTGGATAATATTTCAGGTCTTTAGGAACTGTAAAATAATTTCAGGTGTTAAAGTGTCTATCATCGTTTTGAGAGTGTCAAGTGTAACCTTCCTGCTGATTTATCACAGTCCTGAAAAGTCTATTATTATGTCTAAATTGTACCTTACCCGGTAAATATATCACTGTCTTAAGTGTCAGTATAGTGTCAAAAGTTCCTGTAAAGTGTCTAAAGCGTCTAAAGTGTCTATTATCTTGTCTAAAGTGTCTATTTTAGCCTACCTGATAAATTTCTCACTGTCATAAGTGTCTTTATTGTGTCTGAAGTGTCTATAAAGTGTCTTAAGTGTCTGTACAGAGCCTGAAGTGTCTATTATCATATGTGAATTGTCTGGTTGAACCCAAATATAAATTTTATTTCAAAAGTGTCTATATAGTGTCTGTATAGTGTCAAATTTAGCGTCTATTAAGTATCCTACCTGGTAAATTTATCACTGTCTACATATCTATTAAAAATATCTCCTCTGAGGTAGGATAATATCTCCTCAATATACGAGTCAAACAGATTCTGGGGAACCTCAACCTACAATAATAGAATCTTTAAATTACAGATATTAAAGGAATAGTTCAACTAAACTACAGATATTACAGGGATTGTTCAACTAAATTACAGATATTACAGGGATTGTTCAACTAAATTACAGATATTACAGGAATAGTTCAACTAAATTACAGATATTAAAGGGATTGTTCAACTAAATTACAGATATTACAGGGAATGTTCAACTAAATTACAGATATTAAAGGGATTGTTCAAATAAATTACAGATATTAAAGGATTGTTCAACTAAATTACAGATATTAAAGGGATTATTCAACTAAAATACAGATATTAAAGGGATTGTTTCGCTAACATACAGATATTAAAGGGATTGTTCGGCTAACATACAGATATTAAAGGGATTGTTTGGCTAACATACAGATATTAAAGGGATTGTTTCGCTAAATTACTTCTGTAAAAGGAGTTGTTCGGCTAAAATACAGGTATTAAAGGGATTGTTTGGCTAAACTACAGATAATAAAGGGATTTTTCGGCTGAAATACGAAAATATTAAAGGGGTTGTTCAGCTAAAATACCCATATTATAACGGTTTATTGGCAAAATTGGAATTTTCAACGGGTTGCTCGGGTAAAAAATAAATATACCTGTTGAAGAAGTTTTTGTACATTTTCTGCTGAATCTTTAGAGTAAAGCCCTTCACAAGTCAAACAGTTAGAAAATGAATTCATGATATTGGGAAATTAAATACTATTTCATAAATTTTACTTTTAGGAAGTAGTAAATAAAATCAGTAATTTCCTTGGTTAAGAATTGGGGACTCACCCCCCCCCCCCCCACTGACAAATTATAGTTTTGTACACAGAAACAAACTTATTCTTTAACTTTGATCACCAATTTCCCACTGTATTCTCAGAATTTTCTGTATCTTGAGTATCCTCTTTATCCTCTGTATCCTGTGTAACCCATATATTCTGAATCTCTGCATCCCATGTATCCTCTGTATCCCTGTGACTGTGTATCCAATGTATCATGTGCATCCTCTGAGCCCCTGCATTTTAAGTATCCTCTGTATCTTCTGTATCCTCTGTATCCCCTGTATCACCTGTATCCCCTGTATCCTCTGTATCCCCTGTATCCTCTGAATAACCTTATTAATAATCCCAATGGAAAAGAGAAAAGTATAATAAAATATTTAGATCTCCTTAAACGGATTAACCTTCTCCTAAATATCAATATTTATTTTGATGAGAAACCAAAAAATATATTTTTAAAATAAAATATCAAATCTGTTACATGCTACTCGGAAAAGGTTTCCCGTAAGGTTTCCGACTTGTTTCCTGAATTTGAAAGTAGTTCCCGCATTATGAACGTGTCGTAGATTTCCCGCGCTTTTTTCTTGCGGTCGTCGTTGCTGTCAATCTTCTCGAACTTTCTAATTTCCTCGTAGAATTTAAACTGAGTTACTTGTTCATGGGCCACGTTATTACAGAAATCCTACAAACAAACAAAAATAATTATTTTCAAGGTTAATGGGACAGTTGGCGCAATTTCAAGTGACGCTTTTGAAAAGTGGCGACTGGCGAGTCTGATTCACAACCTAGGGCCCTTTAAACCTTCAAAGGATGGACGGATTTCTCTACAAAATCGCTTATAATTAATAATAATATGCCTTTGTTTTCAAGCTGTTTCATATTCGAGAAGTTTTAATATTTACGTTTTAGAAGTCGCAGAACATAAATATTTTCATTTAAAATTTTAAGAAACCACGTTGGACAATGGATGAAGAGTTTTCGGGATTTTCGAGAAATAAAAGTTTACACTTTGACAGACACACTGCGGTCGATGATCAGTCAATGGTTTAGACGGACATTCCCATATTTAAAGTCAATTGAAACTACCACAGTCCGTTAAAATGATGTTTGATTTATTAATGGATAATCCAATTACATCCTAGTTGAAATAATTCATATTCATGGATAAACAAAAAATTAATGTTAAATACAAAATATTAACTATATTTTTAAAATTTAAAATATTGTATCCAAAAAACATTAAAAAAAATTTACCAAAAGTGAAAATATTTTGTCAAAAACTTTTAAAAAAACATCAATGAAACATTTTAGTATTTTTTACACATTTGATAAATTTTACACTGATAAGCATTTTAGGTGTTTAAGGCAGTAAATCATAAAATTTCAGAATATTTTCTTTCTCATAAATCTAGAAAATTAGGTACTGTGAGACAGGAAAGATAATATTTTCACTTATAATCCCCCCCCCGCCA